TAATTGCTATTGATACCTTTACACCTACAGACGTTTACACCTACATACGGATTGCTATAACTGCCCTGATTTACTGCCTGTATAGGTATCACATTGCCTTGCAAATTGTTTAGTCCTCCTGACGGATTACCCCATACCTGGCCCGAGCTGCCGCTTACCTGTGGAATCCCAAAGGGATATTGTTGAGACGTTTGATTCAACAATCCACCCAAATGATTGTTGGTGCTGTTGTCGGGAACGCTGGGCTGATTCGGTGGACCACCGATGGCCGCTCGAGGATTAGTTTGCGTCATTGGATACTTTGTATATACCGGCAGGAAGGAATTCGATGTTGGAGCCTAGATACCCAGCTGGCTCGTTTGGGTTTCCGCTACACCCGCGCTCGTGTTGCATACGTGTTGTCGTTGGGATGATCCCAGGAATGGTGGGGTTGAAAGTACTCGTGACGATAGCCGAGTTTTCTACTGGCTGGAGCGCTTTGGAATGCGTGGGATCCTGCACGGCAGCTGTTGAAGTTGACTTCGGAACTGCAACTGTTTCTCGGGTGGCTACGGTAGAATTAACCAACCCCCCTAGATGTTGTTCTCGCCATTGGATTACTTTACTGATGTTGCTCTGTAAGGATTTCTGGCTCTTTTACTCATCACATTCGTCATCACACTCCTCCTCTAACGCCCGGAACTTCTCCTGCAAAAACATTGAATCGATCTCGAGCTGTTTTTTCTCCACTTTATTTTCATTCAAAAGCCTTTCCGCTTCGTGACGTCTCCGTTGCTTGGCCCGTTCCAGTTCCAACTGTCGCTCAATTAGTTCCTTCTGTTCCTGGAGTTTCATCAGGCGAAGCTTTGTTTTGGTTCGGATGCTACTAGCGGATGTTCCTACGTCAGAGCCGGCGACGGTGGGTGATTTTCGTGGGTTTTTAGTGGCTTCGTCTTCCTTGTCGCCAAAGAGGCACTTCCGATAGAAAAAGTCCTTCTCGTTAATGCTTTCTTCCACGCCTACGCATTCAAAGTGCCACCAAGATCCACACTTGTCACAAGCGACTATCCGGCTGTTGTCGGATGTACCACAGGCCTGACAGCTATTATGGTTTTCGTCTGGCAGCTTATAGGTCTATTAGATCTTTTAGTTTGTTAGATGAGGAAATTTTCGGACTCTTTTGATGGGAAATGCTTAAAGCTGAGAGGGTTTATTTAGTTATTTTCCTTAACAAATTGGATTTTACTTACATCTAATGTAACCTCAAATCTCTATCCAACAAATTATTAGGCTGAAGACGCTAATTTTCTATCTGCTGTGGAACGTTACAGTTAGTATTATATTTAATTCAACAAATTTATTTTATTCATCTATATTTAACAACTAATAGAAATAACTTGCTATATAGATTTTACAATTCTCTCAACGTGTTGTTTTTCTTATTGCTGCTTCTTCTGCCTCTGCGCTTGACTTTCGATCGGACAGTTGACAGCTCCGAATCAAGCTCTCTCGCTGACACTGACATTCCCTGGGTTGACTGTGGTAACAAAGGGTGGTACGCTCGTAACTGCCGTAACACCTTCCAATCCTCTAAATAAATGTAATTATTAATCTATAGTAAACCGCGAGTATTCGGCCCCCTTCTACTAACTTAAGTTGTAAGAAATGATTATCTAAAATTACATGTAAAGTAATTTGGCTCCGCAAAGCTATCGCATTTGAGCCTTGACAAATAAATGGATTATAAAAAAAAAACTACAAGCGACAGCTCTATGGGGTTGTACGCAAAGGTGACGTAGGATTACGTGGTCTTATATAATATATCTTATTTGTTAACTGCAGCAGGAGCCTGGGTTTTTGTAGGAATAGGAACTTGAGCGGGGTCCTCTCTGTTTATACTCTTCAGTATGACGCGTTTGACATAGATAACCCACAGCCACTCACGAAGAGCTACTGATTCTGATCAATAGCGGTGTGGCTTCTTCTACCTTATATGTGGGCTACAGCTTGCTGCTTGCAGGCAGCCTTTCGTTGTGTATTGGAGAACACCACCACTCACTACGCGGTGATTGAATAAACACCGTTTGGTGAGACCGGATGGAATTCAACTTTGAAATGTGTGTCTGGGAAATCACTTTTCGCAGGCAATAAGTGATAAATTTAACTATCATAGTAAAAGTTGCACATTCGTGCAATTTTCAACACTGAACCTTTGAAAAATTATAAAGTCTGAAATTCAACAGATGCGTAGAAATATTTCTGATCGATGGGGATAAAATTATTGGAATTGGTCCAGGGGCAGCTGAGTTACTATCGTTCAAAATCTTTCATAATTTTGTTAAATGTTTCATTTTCGGTTTTCGCAAAATGTACCCCCATATAGAAATCACAGACCTTTATGCAGCAAATCAATCTTGAAGTTTCTTGAGAATATACTCTTCAAAAATTTCTCCAGGGTGGGCCAACTGGACAGAATCTAATCTTCATGAGGTTTTATTCGATGTAATAAAGGCAAATCTTTCTTGGCCAGGGTTTTATGAATGTTGTTTTACAGTATACCCTTGTAGTACTTTATTAAACGTATAACGTTACTTGGGATATGTAATACCTGAAATTCCAAGCAACAATTTTTGTTTTATTGAAGTTTTATAGCAGTTGATATAACCAAATTATAAAACCTTCACTGACGACCACATTGCTTTAACAATCTCCTGAGAACCGCAATACAGCCATGTCATGGCCAATTGGCCCAGTTTTAATGCAGTCATTAAAACTTGATATGCGAACTACTTTAGGAGCATAGGATTTATGCCAGTTTTATCACACTCTAGACGTGATTGTTAAAAATGAAAACATAAAACCTCCTCCAGGTCAGAAAGTTTTAACAGCCTTCTAATGACTACCATAAAACTATATTACAACCGCATAAATCGCTCCTGAAGAAGTTGATAAAACATGATACGCAAAACATTTTGACAACTTTGAAGGTTTTAAGTTGGGGTTTTTGGATGATATTTAATATTGAGAAATATTTTATTGTGGTTTTATTCTTTCGATGTTTGATGTGAAATCATGATCCTTGTCAGTTGGTAATAATGGCTGATATTATTGTACATTGAAAATAAGACGACTTTATTATAATTTTAAACCAATCTGTATATGCTTCACAGCATGCCGTGCAATATTTATGGTGATTATTATACCAAATAGGAGCATAAATTTAGTGCGCCATATGAATACTAAAATATAGGGATATTTTTAATTTGTCTGCATTAGCACCATGCATTAAAGAGTCATTCAAAGATTATCTATTTAGTACAAAACTATTACTACTGTTGAGCAATAACCAGTCACATATTATTTAATTATACATAGATGTATGAAAGTGTTTTATTGCCTATCAATTAAAGCGTAATTATTCATACTGTGTGAAATTTGTTCATACGGCGACATTTTTTTTCGTTATAACTTGCTACTCCTTAAAAATACCTCAATATAACATATTCTCCTAGATTGGAATTCTATAGCATAACATAAACCTAATGGTTGTATCTTAGCATTTCGTAGTCCAAATTGAGAGCGTTAAGTTATATTTAAGCTATATAACTAGCTTGCTGGTTTTATTCGGTACAGCGAATCAAAACAAAACAAAAACCATGACCACCTGTCAAAAAGTCAACATTCCAAGCGATCCTCCTATTTTCGCTTGTAATCAAGATGTAAGAAATGCTTATTGGATCCACTAAAAGCTTTTTCAATACAAGGTTTAAAGCCGTGATGTCAATACTAGCCATCTCCAAACGGATTTAGTGAAACTGTCGGCGTTACTTTAAGAAGGGTTCGTAGATCTTTCGGAAGTGTATCGGAAAGCCGCTTGTTCAATATTTTTAACAGCTCCTTCACCGCACTGTGCCTTATGTAGGGATCGTATAACTGTAGTTCCTCCATATTGTTTCATATTGTCGATCGTCTCATCTTCATTGTGTTCAGAAGCACTGAAGGGGTTTTCATTTCATGTATCTGAATAGATTTGTTTTTTATAATGACAAAAAATTTCAGAGTATTTTTTGTTGTAGCAGTATATTTCTTATCTGTGAATCTTAGGCCTCTGATAAAGATGATAGTTGTAATGAAGCTTTAATGAAGGTCTAAGACTGCTTCAAGTTTTATATCGGTCATAAAAAGTGTACCATAAAACATAATTGTATGTTTTGTTTTGGTTTTATTCTTCAGTTATAAGTAGTGATGCAGAACCACCTTACAGCTACCGTTAAAACTATGAAGTCTGAGTTTTAATTAAGTAGTCATAAAACAGTTTTATAGACGACTTGACGGCCTGATTTTATGACAAGCACACAAAACCGTAATACAACCACAGGCTGGAAGGGATGCTATGATAAAACAATGATAAAATAAGAATAAATCTTCCAAGCATTTAGATTGTTACTTGGGATGTGTAAGGCATTGCCAAACTCGCCGCCTGCATTGAACCAAATTGCCATTCGACCCCGATATCATTCGATCGGTCGTCGTCGCCGTCGTCATCATGTGTCATCGGGTCAGAGTCACCCAGAGCGTGTGCAGTATGTTACCCTCGTAGAATATTTTCCGCACAATAACAACCGGCGAACGATGCATTTCTAACGGTACAATTCCATTCACCTTGCCATCCCATTTCATTTAGCAAAAAATAACAACAACCCGCTCGGTCGCAGAAAGGCCGATGTCGTTCTGGTGTATAAATTTGTGCACTTGTGTTGATGAAAAAAAAAAAAGAAATCATTCACGCGCGAAACGCTCAATCGAACCACTTGGTCGGTCGCAAATTTCGGCCGGCGGAAAGGTCGAGAGAACGAAAAATCAACAACATACGGTGGTGGTGCATTTTGCACCAAAACAGCAGCAGCGCACATAACAACACCAATAATAAAAAAAAAAAGTCCATTGACTGCGCGCTTCCCGGCCGGCAAGGCGGCATTGACCTAATCGATTCGGAACGGGCCCCAAAATAAACACGCGTGAGTGTGTGTGCGTATTTGGAGGGAGGTGGCACCTACCTAGTAGAGGGCAACCGGTGGAGCGTGAAATTGATAGCAAATTATGAAACTTTCTGGCAAACGGGATGCGGTTTTCGGGGGACACTTGTTGATGGTGACGTTTTCGGAAGTTTTTAGGAGTTGATCATTTAAGTTTTATAAAAGTACTTTTGTTGATCATTAACGAATGACTTTCTCAACTTTTCATGGTCTCATATGGTCCAGGATCCACTCGAGGTACTCAGTCACAGCGATGAACCTTTCCGGCTTGCTACAGTAGGAAATTCCAGTCTGAATTCCGTACAACAAGTATCGATTGGATTTTTTCTCAATCGCCTGGATTGCAGTTCCCGGTTGGTAGTCTTCGCAACGTGGGCTTCTGTTCGGATCTTCCCGGTTCCGTACACAAACGATCGCATCGGTTATATTCTTCTCCTCTTCGCTGGCATACGACACATTGGCCATCTCCTCACGGCAGGCCTTCTGATAGATCAAATCCACGACGGCTCGCTGTAGCAGCTTGGAGTCCTGTCCAGACTCCTTCCAACCAGTTAAGGTGTACTTTGAATAAACGCGACCTCGTTGTTCTGGTGAAACGGGCAAACAAATGGCCTGGATGTGTTCTCGTCTGCCGATAATGGCTGGAATCGACAATCGAGCTAAAACCAGACGATCCTTCTTGAAGTATTCAGCGATGGTGGTTATCTGTACCGGATCCAAGCAAAAGTATGGATCATCATTTCGTGGATGGCAATCTCGCACCTCGCCGGTATTGAAATCTCCCAATGTCACCGAAATGTCATCGCTGGAATTGAAAGAAATCAAATATCAAAATAACGGACTAAAAAGTAATAAAAATCACTCACTTAAAATCGACACAGGTTGAAGTCAGAATGTAGTTCTTATTGATCAAAACTCCGTTGCATGGAACATACTGATTATTCTGAAAGGGGTGCCTCAAGGCCGCCATCCACAGGTACTGCTGGATGACGGGTTTCTTCTCTTCTTGATATCCAAACATATATTCGTTTTTACCACAATCTCCCTGATTGATCAGCCTCACGTTTGGGTGCCCCAGAATAGGATCATCGCTCCTGATAACTGGAGCGTTTTCGTAGATCCACTGCAAGTACCGTGCCGCATCGGTAAATCCCACGTACTTCTTCAAATTGCAGATCCTCGTCAAATCTACGATACTGCTGAACGACACAACTCCTCGCAGATACCACTGCCCTTCACGTTCGAAGTACATACCTCCACCGCTGTCCCCATTACACACTCCAGTTCCATTCGTAAACCCCGCGCAGTATGATCTCGCAGTGAGCAAATGGCCAAAGAAAGATCGATCACTCTCCAGACAATCGTAGATATCCACAACCGGCATCTGTGCCTTGTTCAGCGTCGACGCCACCGTGTCATTCTCCGTCAGGCCCCAGCCGACCACAGTTCCGAGCATCCCGTGGAATTTCGGAAGAACTTTGCCATCGTCCCGCTTCCAGAGACAAACCGGTTGAACGTAAGGCGTCAAGATCACCGGTACCTTCAGTTTCAAAATGGCGATATCATTCTCATACGTCAACGGCTTGTAATCGCGATGCGCTACTATCTGGTCCACTTCGTGGTCGTGACCCTGTTCCTCATACCGTTCCGATATATTGAATCGACCAACCTTCACCAGAATATCACCTGGAGCCATTCGTTTCCTACTCGATCGCAATGTTACGCAGTGAGCAGCCGTCACTACCAAATACTTATGCACCAGCGTTCCACCGCATTGGTAATCGAAATTCGCTCCATTAGCAATCCGATGAAATAGCGCCACGTGCCATGGCCACTCACCGGGACGGGATTTGAAGCCGTTCTTGATGAGTCCCTCCACTGGTACCATTTGACGTCCGCAGGTCTTATCATCGAAATCGACATCCGAACCTTGCGCCTTCACGCTTACGGCCAATAGGATCATTGTGATTACGCGTAGCATCATTGCAAGTGCTGCTACCTCGACAGGAATCGAAACTTTACTGAGAGTAGGCCGTTGCGAGAGCAAGTAAATAAATGAGATTGCGACACTAGTTTTAACGAGCTTCTAAGGTTCTCAGCCTGGTGACGTTCCGCGTTACAATCATTTAGTCTGTACAGGAACGTAATGACTCAAACCTGTTTGAAATCTTATATCCCATGCTCAAATGTCCTCTAATACGATTGTAAGTCTTGATAACATATCACTCCAAATGCTGTCATAGAAATACTGCTAGCTAAAAATTAAATAATCGCGGCAATTGCCCTAACCAACCGTTTTCAGTTAGTGTCTTTTCTTGACTGTACTCGTTTCAATGTTGTTTAAATGTGTAAATGTGTATTCTAACAATATCACTGACTGTAGAGAGCATCATTAGTTGGTCATTAACTTCTTCTTTGTCTGGGACATCATCACCAATGGCGTAGGTAGGAACCTTTTTTTTAGAGGGAGTCCAGTAGTAAAATTATGTTTATTTCTGTTGATTATGATAGTACATTGATTTAACATTTTAATTGATTAGCCTACCTGGCTCTTCATCTTTGTTTCATTTGCTTTTCTAATTTAATATTTGCGTTTTCGACTAGTTTACAGAATACCCCAGGGGGGGGGGGGGGTGTTTTGATTGTATTTACAAATTTGATAAGCTACCTACTTAATCTAAAGCTTAACCTAACGTGCCAGATTGCTAATGATCAGCTGATCGGATTGCCTACAGCAATCTGTGAACCTTTGGAAGGTAGCTGTTCTCCGTAACTCCAGCGTCTGAAGACAAGCCAGGCGATGGACCTCAGAGTTCTTCATTCGTGGTGGACTGTTATTTGATTATAGACAGCAAGCTTATTTTTCAGAGTGGATCGTTTGTTGATGAGTGAATATAAGGATCTCATCAGGATGTTACATTTGGTTTTTGTTTTGTCAATGTGTTCCCTGAAAAACAGCTTGCTGTCGAGTGTAAGGCCGAGGTACACTACCTCTTTTGACCATTCCATCATTGTGCCGTTCAAGTTGATGTTATTATTCTCAGACTGAACAAGTCTGGGTGATTTTGAGTGCGGTAAGATGATGACCTGGGTCTTTGCCGTGTTGATACGGATCTTCCAGCTGTTGATGTATTCAGACAGGACGTCCAAGCCTCTCTGAAGTTTGGCAGTCAGAGCTCCGATAACCCTACCCTTGTGTCATCTGCGAACAGTGACAACGATCCACTATCAGGGAGAGCCGGCATATCGGAGGTGAACAGGTTGAACAAGATGGGGCCATGGATGGTTCCCTGTGGGACACCCGCACCTATGTTGAAAGCATCCGATATGATGCCAATGAGAGAGACTCTGAATGTCCTGTCCGAGAGGTAATTTTTAATTATCTTCACTAGGAAGATTTGAAGACCGTATCGCTGCAATTTGTAGACCAGGCCATCATGCCAAACATTGTCGAACGCTTTTTCAACGTCCAACAGTGCCATGGCAGATGTTTTAGATACAGACTTGTTCCGTCTGAGCATGTTTGTTACTCGAGTGAGCTGGTGAACAGTCGAGCGTCCTTCACGGAAGTCAAACTGCTCCTCGAGCAATATGTTGTTTGCCTCGGCAGATGCCAGAAGTCGATAGTAGACTGTTCTTTCGAACAGCTTGGATAACCCCGAGAGAAGGCTGATGGGTTGGTAACTTGAAAGAGAGGATGGATCTTTCCCAGGATTCCGGATGGGTATGACTTTAGCTGACTTCCAGCACAAGGGGAAGTAGCCAGGTGGTTGAAGAATCTGAAACTCAGGTGTTTGAGTTCCAAATTCAGGATTTGGTCGAAACCTGGAGCCTTCATATTTTTAGATGATTTGGCATAGGCCAACAGTTCGTCAGCCGTAATCTTGCATTCCACAGGAAAGTTGTAAGGAATACGATGGAGGTTTGTTGCATTTACCGCAACTGCAGTATCGTATGGACTAGGCATGTTCAGTCCGAGATTATGCGAGTTGACGAAATGTTGACCTATAGCATCAGCCTTCTCTTCAGGGGTTATCAGATGAGCAACTGAATCATTGGGTTGATTCAACGGCACAAGTGGGGGAATGGGTCTTGGCTTATTTTTAAGGATTTTGGTTAGCTTCCAGGAGAGAGCTCATTTTGTTACTAAAGTCCTCATTTCTGAGGTCCATCATCCTGGCTTGGATTAGTTTTGCTAGACGGTTGCAATGGGTCTTCAAGGCAGGCAGTCCAGTACGTTGGTACTGCCTACGCATGATATTACGGAGTCTGATAAAGTTTTTAGTGGGACTATCAAGGTTCAGAGTATTGCTCACCTGCCTGGATACTGGCACGTGTTGTTCCCTGGCTCGGGATATTGCCTCCTCCAAGGAAAGCAGGCATCGGTCAACGTCAACGGGGGCGTCCGGATGTACTTCATAGTCGACGGCTTCGTCAACACAGTGCTGGAACCGATTCCATTCAACACGATGGTAGTTTCACCGGGATGCTTGCAATCTATGAGCCGAGAAGCCTACTTCGGCCACCACCGGGTAGTGGTCCGAGCTCAGCTCCAGGAATGCCACAGGTTACGAGATGTTGTGTCTCATGTTGCTTACGAAGATGTCGATGGTCGCATGAACCCCAGACCGACTCAGCCGGGTGGGAGTGCCCGGGCCCAGATTGTATAGTGGCCCTCTTGCAAGTCATCATTCAGGATGGTGCCATTTTGATTGCTCCGACTGTTGCCCCTAGCTTGGTGTTTTGAGTTTAGGTCGCTAGCGATGATGAAGTTCTCGCTCCTCCGGGTGAGTTTGATGATGTCTTTCCGGAAGGCCACTGACGACCCGTCCCTGATGTTAGTTTGCTTGGGGAAGCTTGGCATTAGTCGGCAACTGATGTTCCGTCTAGCAGCGATGGCCACTTCCCCACCCCCGGAGCAGGTGCGGTCAAGTCTGACGAGCCGGTAGTCGGGAAGGAATACGTTCAGGCTTCAAGTGCGCCTCGGTGATAATAGCAAAATCGAACTCCTTGGTATTGAGGAAATCGAATAGCTCTCTATGCTTGTTCGTCATCGAGCAAACGTTCCAATTTGCAATTATTATATATTATCGGTCCATACTTGGTGACGAGTGAAAAGGCAGCATGAAGCTGTTCAGATCGAGTCTTGCAGGTTTTCAGGATGACGATCACCTCTGCAACCAGCGTTACTAGTTCTTCCGATGTGAAAGGAGATTCGTCAACTGAATCGCTTGAGGCAACACGGGGATACGATAGTGCAGGCGCCGAGGCAGAAACATGATCTGGCAGGGCCGCTACGGCAGTGAGGCGATGCTGAGCTGAGGGAGCGGCTCGTTGATTGTTGATGGGTAGGCGACGAGGCTGGATTGCCGGATATTGTTCATCCGTGATGGCTGGTGGTGTGCGTTTGTTTCGATGTCGGCCTGGATGGTTGCTAGTTGGCACCTGATGTTGATGAATTCCGTTTGCTTGGGGCAGTCCCGAGTAGTGGCACGGTAAGTACCGCCGCAATTCACGCACTTTAGCTCGATGTCATCAGCTTGAACACAGGTCGCTGTCAAGTGGGCCATAGCACACTTGTCGCAGCGTAGTTTTATATGACAGTTTTTCGTGCCATAACCGAAGGAGAGGCAGCTTGTGCATTGGGTCACATCACGGTGTTGCGGTTTGTAGAATTCCCAGTCGATAAAAACCTGAAACAGGTCACGTATGTTGCTCTTCAGCGCAGCAAGGGTGGTGGAGCCCTTCATGAAGTGGACCAGAAACAGTTGGTCACGATAGTTGGTATTGGGCATAGGCTGTCGATTCATTGGGTGGACTGCCTCTGGTTTTAATCCGAGCCTCACCAGTTCATCTTTTACGGCAGCCGCTTCGTACGACGGCAGTCCCCGTAAAACAACCTTCAATGGTTTCATCGAAGGCAAATCGTGGGTGTAAAACTCCACTGTGCTGCTCTTCAGCAGCTCACCAACCGACTTGTACTGCTGTAGGCTGGAGCACATGATCTTTCTTCCAACGTTACAGATCTTGAATGGCGGGAACAATTTGCGTTTTGCCAGTTCATCCCTAAGCTGGGCGACGTCCTTCATCGGGGTAAACAGCGGGGGAATCCACTCTTTTTGAAAATTTCAGCGGTGTAACCACCGCCGTTTTCTACTCCGAGCACCGAGTATTGGTTGCTGCGATTTTCTGCGTCATCCGAAGCAGTGCTGGCATCCGTTTGGACCTTCTTACTAGGGCCCTCCGTTGCAGGAGCAGTAGTACGCTTGCGTAGCGATGAAACGGACTAAAAAAACTCGATAGCGAAGCGAACGAACGAACGAACTATATTGCTAGACGGTCTAGCAACGAAATGATGAACAAAACCAGTAAATCGTTGAACCTTTATTTACTGGAGGAGGCCCAGGGGGCCTGTTTATTTTTGTAGTTGTTAAACTCATGAAAATGCTATTTAATCATTGCCATGTTATCATCAATTATCATGTTCATATACCGTAGAACCCTGTTTGTTTGAGAAGCTAAAATTTAATTTAAACGGCACTCACTTAGAATTGTTTTTAACTGGTACCCCTACATAGGTGCTCGATGGCGCTACGTACCCGTGTATGGCGTACGTACCAGTTATCTAAATTTGAAGCGAGCGTCGTTTAGTTGCAATTTAAGCTAAACAATCTAACGAGGCTCTACGGGATGCATCAAGTCAGGTCAAGCTAGCTCATACCTTATATTGCGAATGTTGCACCAAAGTAGACTCCTGCGCTAAAAACAGGCCTGCCGTGGTGGTTACTCATGATCAGTGGTGGCAAATGTACGCTTTTTGCGAAACCATCGTTCAAAGCGAAACAAAACAGCCAGCACAAGGGCGGTCGTGTATAGTTACATTTCAAGCGAACGGCGGAGATAGAGAATAGATAAAATGTCGCAGCCTATTCTTTTCCAAACAGTTTATTGTGATGAAATGTTAGCTTCCAGCTTGCATGTGACAGTAAATTATCAACTCCGTTATTTACGCAACATCTATGTTTATTTATTTAGAAATTTATTTATTAATGACTAGGCGCCATCGGCTAAATGATGTACCCTAAACTACACGAAAAGTACTAACATTCACAAGTAACATTCCCAAAGCTAATTTGATGTATTCAGGTTTTATAGTTGATTTAGATAAGAATTGAAAATATAACATACACTTAAGGCGATTTTGATTGAGTAATATTGGTTTTATGTAAGTTGCGGTTTTATAATATCCTAGAAAATCCCTTGGAGAGCATAAATAAATTTCGTTTTACTTGAGAATGTTCATGCTTATAACAACTCTTATGATGCACTTGAGGATGTTGTCTGACGATATGATTTATAATGGCAATAAATCTACATCATAAGTGCTGTATAAAACTCCTTGAAGAATACATTGATTTACGCTAGTTTAAAGGATCTTATTCAAGAGCACGACAGAACAACACATTTTCTTTCGAAATGGAGGCACACAAATGGAAAAAAATTAAATCAAGTGGAGTGGCGGACTCAATGTCAACGGTGTCCAATAAGTCGTCCCAATCTAAACTGGAGAGCACAGCATGCTTCAGATATCACAAAATACTTGACACAACTAAAGCTACCATCTGAGATACATACATACATAGGAGCATGAGAGGTCTCGACTGTTTAAATCATTGGAAGGGTACAGAGTTTCGTACATTTTTGTATTATATAGGTATAGTAGTTTTGAAACCTTTTTTACCAGAAGACGTATACGAACATTTTTTGGTCTTTTTTTGTGCCATAACTATTTGCTCAACCGATTCTCATTCTCATCTTATTGACCTAGCAGAATCGTTGCTTCAACATTACATTGAACGGTATGTTGATATTTATGGAGAAGATTACATCACAAGTAACGTTCATAGTCTCAGTCATCTTATAGAAGATGTTAATCGTTTCGGTATCCTGCCAAGTTTTAGTGCGTACCCTTTCGAGAGTAAACTATATCAGATTAAAAATTTAATTCGAAGTGGACATAAACCCCTAGCTCAGGCGGCAAAGCGAATAAGCGAACTAAATCAGCTTGAAGAAAATTGCAAACCATGTAACACAGTTCATGCAACTCCAACGTTGAAAAAACAAATTCGTACACCTGAGTCTGATGATAAGTTTGCTAAAATTGAATTCGAAACATATTCATTAGATAACAATGCGGCCAATAAGTGGTTTCTTACTAAAAATAATCAAATGGTTTGTTTCGATCACGCTTCTCAACAAAATGGGAATATCTTAGTTTCGGGTAGTGCACTAAAACACACCAGCGATTATTTTGCAACACCTATAAAATCAAATCATTTACACGTCTTTTATTCCAGTAGTGAAAAAGCTGCAAAAACACAATACACACAATTAGACATAAAATGTAAGATGGTAGCAATACTTATACCAAACAGAAATGTAGGGATGGTATTCATACCACTGCTCCACACAATACATTAAAAGTGATTATTATGTAAGTTGAAAATTATTTTTGAATACGGTAAATAAAATCCAACATAACGTTTATGTTAAACCATTCATTGTATAATTACATTGTACATTTGATTTCTATTTATAGGATGGTTCATGTGACACTGTGGTATTCGCATTAGGAATACTGTTTGACTGATTAATCTCAGAAGCATGCGTTGGTCCAGAACCAGCCCCAGATTTGTTGTACTTCATTTTTGTAGGCCTGTTCTTATGCTTCGACGTCAGGAACTTTGAGGAGAGTCGCTGCTTACTGTTCTTAAGGATCGTTTTGAAGAATTTGTCGCAATCAAGCTCCGAAAACTGATTGTCAGCTTGTACAATCAAATTCAGAAACAGCGCACGTGTGTTTTTGAAGAATTTCAATGGTACTTTTGTCGTAGCATCTCCACAAGTTGACGGCTCCTGCTGTGAATTTCCATCAGCCTGTCCCATCATTCCTGTCCATGAGCACTGAGTGAGAAACTTTCGGGTGAAAAAGTAATAAATTAACTTGTAACAACCATCCGTTCCTTGAGCTTTGCCAGTGACGCCGCATATGTAACTCTTTCCACATGAAAATTGCTGCATCAGTGTTTCATCCTCCAAAGACCTTTCCAAAGCTTCCAGTTCATCCACCGAATCGGCTGGGGACAATACATGCTGAACATGCCGTTTAGCCAAAATAGCATCATTTTGGGACGCACTGTAATGGCAATGAGTCATAGCGTATTCCTGTCCGGTTTGAATCTTCGCTAGGGCTTGCATGATTTTCGACTGATTTTCCAGAATAGTACGTTGATTTACCAGTACAGTTTCCAAGTTTCCATTGTTAATTCCATCGTAACCAGGCAGTAAGAAGATTTGGGATGATTCATTGTGTTCTGCTATTCCCTCCGTGTGAACGTTTTCCGTGACATAGAGCAGTTGTTGATCATTCACAGGAGCTGTAATCTACGATTGAAATAATGAATGTTTCTCAATTCTCAATAAAAGAAACTACTTGATTGAAATACTCACACATGCATTGTTGACAGGATTGGATTCAGCGTTGCTTTCCGCTTTAAATTCTTCTTGAGTGTCCAAGAGGTTGTTAAAGTCTTTCGCTGCAAATACTTTCCTTGAGGGCTCACGACGCACACGCTTCTTTGGAGGTGCCAGTGGAATATCTTCCACTTCGGTATCAATTCGTGTTTCCATCCGATCAAGTTCATCATCAGCTTCCTCACGTGTCTTAAATTCCCTTTTCCTGACACAGTTCATCTTTTCCCATTTATCATCTGCAGTGGATGTTTCGATCTGGGACAATTTTCCTACCAGGTGCTTTTTCGGCCACCGCAAGATTCCATTGGCTTCCCAGCCGCTAGGTACAATACTAAGGCAAATTTCCCCGGCTTCAATCGTTTGAATAATTTTGAATGGCATCCTGAAAACGACTAAATCTTTTAAAAAGTCATCGAATAATACACTTAAATGCAATTTACTTACGCGACATCAATTAGGACAACAAACAAAAAACGGAGAATATGTGGAGTGTTGGTCGACCATAAATAAACAGCTGTCAAATGACAAACTCGATGACGAGTTTTTTCTAGCCTACTGCGACCTACATACCAAAAGGGTCTAAGCGGTATAAGAAATATTCCGCTGTAATTAACCAAATAAAATTATTCATTGCAAATCACTTTACTTCTCAAAACTTTATATAACATTTAATTACATCGCGATGTTTTCATTGTACAGTTCTACGTAAGTGTGTCGTTTAGAATAATTAATAAAATCAAGATGGAATTGGAATCAGTAACAACAATTGATTATAAGACCTCTTCATTTGAACGTTAATATTTTTATTGTTTGTGATAGAAGCACTGAACTTATGGCGATCTTACATAAAACTTATCTGTCTTGAATATCAATCCCTAATTTTATTCAAGCCATACTGATCTTATTCAAGAAAATAACAAGGTTAATTGAACTTATCACGCTCCTCCATAGCTCTGTGCAAGAAAGATTAGTCTTAACAGAATCTTGTGGGGGGTTTATTTCAAACCATTGAAAATAATGGCGATAATACTGCTCTTGACATTCTCGGAATGGTAGCCATTAACACATAAATGACAAAAATAATCTTTTGATTTCAGTTATCCCAACTGATTTTTACCGTTCCTAATAAGGTCCTGGATTTGACAAAGGAATCTGCACAATTCCTTTCAAAATCATAAAAAAAATCTGCCTGTTTCAAATGTATCATTTTGCCAATAAGTTTATTTTTTTATTTTTAAATAAATCAATATTTAAGCAATATCATCGAGGTGCGTTAAATTTTTCGAGCTTTTGTATTGCTTAACGACGGCAAAATAAATATAGCATGGAAAATCACTGAACTACAAGCTCGAAAATGATCGTCTTTGCTAATACGTCCATGTCCAATTTTTATTCACATCGTTATTGGTAAAGGAATACCATATAATCGAAGAATTTATGACTCGAACAGATTCTTCCATCTAGAAACAAGCTGTCTATCTAGCAAAAACTGGAACATGTGAAATAAACTTATCACGTACTGGAAGCATTCTTGAAGAGAAAAAACATAAAACTATGGCAACTTGTCGTAGTTTTATCAGAAGTTTAAAGAGATCTTGAATGCCATTATAAGCATGTATCGATAGAAATGTCAAGTTTTAAGCGAACCTTAAAAACTAGTATTGAGAACCTACTTTAGTATGGGCCTCTTTCGTCTTATGAAGGTTTTATGGCTGTTTTGGAGTAGCTTTGTAGAATAATTAGTTTTATGTTCAGTTTTATAGAACTGTCTTGAAAACTTCTTCAAGTGTACCATAAAATTCATTTTGTTACTTGGGTAAGGCGCGTCCCTTTGTCAGTCGAAATTGGATTCCTTAGCAACAAAATTAAGGTATGACACCGATAATGACAATGCATCAGAACCCTAGTCTTAACCACTTCAAACTAGGGAACAACGAATAGAAGATTAGGAATCACATAGATGAAGACAACTAACTCATTTTTTTCCTTGTTTCAAGATCATCCTCGGTAGACAAAGCCAAGTCTTGTCACTATCAACAAGGCATAAAAAGTAACAAGGACTAAGATGTGTTCCTTGGATTACTGAAAAATCCTGTTCCCCTAGTTTGAAGTAGTCAGGACTAGGAATCGGTGGTAGATCTTACATCCCGTAACGTACCACGAAAAGGTGATCTACCCACGTTACGGGGTATGCATCAGCTTAGTACTTAATGTCACCAGTAGCGGCGGGAGGTGCCGATCCAGTCTCACCAGAGGAGTGGGCCCCTCGCATATGAAAGGAGCTACCCAACAAACATTGAATGTAGAATAAGAGCTTATTCAGGCAACAATAAGCTTTTTCAGCTAAAAAATTGCTTATTCAGCTGTTAATCAAGTCAAATTGTTTGTTGGGTATGTCTTGGGCGGTTACAAAGCAAAGATCCAAACTGTGGTTGTTCTGGTTAATAACATGATTGATTTGAGTTAATGCGGCTGAGCTGTAATTGTCCAGAAGGAGCAAAGCGTTGGAATGGATGACAGTGTGATCCATATCAGGATAGAGGAAGCCGTTGCGAATTATTTGAGTTGTGATGTGATGTGAATGGAACCCACCATCAGTGCAAGGATGGCCAATGTCTGCAGATACTTTACCGGTTGTAAAGTTCTGCCTGATGGTTTGTTGCAGCAGGGTGAATCAGCTTCATTGAAGACCCTTGGAGGACAAAACGACCAGATGGCCATCTGTAATCATGCGACAAGGGACTGGCAAATCCACGAACCCTCGTCCAGTCAACAAATCCTTTGATTCCCTTAGGCTGCCACCCAACCCAGTATATAATATAATGTTTTAACATATATGATTTACAGTAAAGTTCTAAATGAATCCACATGAAGCATCCGTGCTATAGTTGCATTGTAGTTCCAATCAAAGACGGTTTGCTTGATGGGGATCAACATAAACTATTCCTGCCTATGTAGAACCAGTTTGAAGTGTCCATATGTAGTGATCCTCCGGCTTGGGATAACAGATAATCGGCTGTAGTCGATTGCTGGATCCGAGTGAAGGTAGCCCAGTATCAGGTAGCCCAGTATCAGGTCCAGCAACTTGCAATTTCTTTACACGAATACGATAAACAATGGAATATCTTGGTTCCAATAAAGGTTCCTCTTCGTTTTCAAACCGTATGTCAGCGGCAAATCACAGTCAGTACAGCAGCATGACGTACAGCTAGTATCCCTTGGGGACCGGATGCAGATCTCGCAGGGCTTTTTCTGCATAGATGGTAAGATTTCTTTTGAAACGAATAATCGAGTTCTATGCCATCTTCGAAAATGTAATTTGGTTAACCAAATAAGGATAAAAAAAAACTCCGAGAAAAAAACGAACATGTCATGTTCGTTCATACGCACAGCCTACTCCGTTGCGAATTTTTTGAGTGGTTAGTAATAAGTCTTATCATTCACTAAAAAAATTATCCATGTGAATCTCACGTAGCTTTCATGTGATCACATAGCTAAAAATCTCACCACAAAATCACTTGAATATTATGAGGCCAATGAAAACGTGATCGCATAAATGTTATTTGAAATTCAGATGAATTCCATTAATTTTGTTTATGGATGAAAATCATTTGCGATTCCAATGGAAACTACATGAAAACTATTTTCGGTGTTGAATTCCGTGCAATGAACATCGAATAAAAGCAGTAATTATCCAGAAATTAGCTAAATTCGACATGACATAAATTTATGTCGCCGTTGGTCTTATTTGTATCTTTGTGTGAAAATGTTCTGTCGCTGGCAGAAACCAGTTAAGAAATATTATGACATTTTTGCAGCTTGCCAGTTTATGTTTGTATGTCTTCACTATGGTCATTGCGAAAAGCGTCAATTTAAACCCAATACTCGTGCCACCACTGCTCATGATTACTCCATGAGTAGCCAGCTCTGAAAAGCTTTTCTTTTTGTATCAATCAATCTACATGCGTTTCTCTTATAAAACCTGTGCTGCAAAATCGTTGGTGTAAATAAGGGGGGCTTGGAGGCTGTCTCCCTAGAAGTTATGCTAGCCCACGATGGAAAATGAACAGGTGGGCAGGAACTCACAGTCTCCCAGTGTTGGTGAGTTCTTTGCCGTTAATGTTCACGAAAAGTTCACTATTTTGCTATACAGAAATTCAAAACAAAAATTTTATCTGCGGATTTGAACAGTTTTTGACCTGTTTCATACTACCGGAAGGTGTATGCTGGTCACAAATGCCGTGCCAAACTGATTTCCTACTCAATTAATCAATCTTTGATGTGAAATTCGCTAATAAACACGAGGCGCATTTCGTATAGCAAACATGCCATAACAAAATGGGCATGGTTCATTTAAGTAAACAAACTAACACTTCTTCCGACTGTTACACCTATGTATTAGCCGTCTCGATGCTAGCCCACCCAGAGAATTTAAAAAATAAATACCGGAACAAATTATTTTAGAATTTCTTAAATAATTGCCTATTCGCGGCAGATGATTGACCTTCATGTATTAACCTCTATTTTTCTACATGCAAACATCTCGTAAAAATGATGAATCTCTTAGTTTTTTGTTTTCCAATAATTTTTTTAAGGGGTTACGCAACCCTAGGATTTTCAAAAAATCGATTTTTTTTTACATAAAAAGGTACTCTGAAGTGTCAAGAATAAGGGACAGTTGGTTCCATGTCGAACAAATTAAAATTCCGAAAGTTATAAGCGAAATTACAAAACTTTGCATCACGCACCTGAATCTGTACCTCAAACTTCAACCGCGTTTTTTTTCGATACAACATTTCTCTCCGCGGCCCATACGATAGCATCTGCAATTTTGACTCAATTTGATCTAGACTTTGACGATTGAATTCTCTGATTAATTATATAAAGAAGTACATACGAACTTTTTAATTGATAAAAAATGCAATTGTGGTAAACAATTTAAGAAACAAATTTTTTGGGGGCGACCCCGGCGTAGTAGTTAACATCCATACCTCTCACGCCAAAGTCACGATTTCAAATCTCACCCCCAGACAAGTCACGAATGACCTAATACCCCGTTCTCATTACACTCAATATCACGTGATATAGAGCGATTCGTGATATACCAGCTATATCACGTTCTATATTACGTGATATCCCATACAAACGATCTGTCAACCTATATCACGAATAGTTCATGATATAGCTCATATCATGTTGTGTACTTGATAAAAATCTGAAAAGCAGTGGCTGGCAACCAGGCTATGATAGAGCTGGTCGGTATTTTTTGGCATCAAATGTCATTTTCTTGTCATCCCGTCGAATTGATACACAAAACAAAACAAAATACAAAATGCAAGACGTGTCCTCCTTTTTCTCGCAGAATTATTGTTATCATTCTC